GGTTGCAACGTTTTACTCGCTGGGTGTAACCTCCTTAGTTCTAAAAAGGTTTAGCGAGCGTTGAGCCGCAGTGCCATGAATACAATGAACTAGTATATACCATGAACTCAAGGGGGTTAAAGGTGGGAAGTAGATACGAAGCGCAAGCCGTAAGAAAGTAAAAGCCGAATACTCCTGTCTCTCATTTCTCATTAACAGCCATTGGCATGTACATTGAGCACTATCTGACAGGAACAAGTTGCTACGTTATATTCGCTGGGCGTAACCTGCTTGGTTTTAGAAAGGTTTAGTGAGCGTTGGGCCGCATTGCCATAAATACAGTGAACTAGTATATACCATGAACTCGAAGTGATTAAAGGTTGGAAGTAAACCCAAGCGAAAGCAGTAAGAAAATGTGCGTGTGCCACCTCTCGTTTAGTCCTTGGAATGTTCGCTGGATGGCGGTGCTTCAATATGGGGAATATATGATAAAAAGATGTGAAATGGTGGTACTTAGAGTGTTGAATAGATGGACGAACGGACACACAGACGGATGTATGGATGGATGCATGAACGGACGCAGGGGCGGCTGCATGGACGAATGCAGGGACGGACGCACGAACAGACGCACGCACGTACGGCGGATGGACGCATGGACGGTCACACAGACGGGCCCATGGACGGACGGAAGCAAGAACGAATGGACGGACGAATGCTTCGCTCCACTCTCCATCATTCACTCCATGCATATGCTGCCAATGTTTTCGTTTCGAAGTTCTTTTCTAAATGTATAAGTTGGTTTTCCTTTTGGGAGAGTGTTCTATAATTATTTCGGCTATGAGATAGCGTTTAGGTAACAAGTTCTAGGTTTTGTTTATTTCTTAAGCAGTGTATGCTAAGGTTTTAAAAGTGAGCGCTGTGCGGTTGCATAACGACACGCCTAGCAGCGTGTGTGGAGTAAGAGCGACATTAGAAATGACTTTTGAGTGAGCGCGTAGACGCACGAATATTTTTGTGAGATTTTCAGGATTCATGCAAAAGTTTTTTCTTGTTAATTTTTGTTTTGTTCGCATGTGTCCAGTGTGGACATAAAGAAAGTCAGTTCGTTGTTTCGGGAGCAAATGTGGAGCCGTTATGAAGACGGTAACCGCTAGGCAGAATTAGTAGTTAATGCACGCAGGAACACTATGACGTCCGTTTGCGTACGTGTAATGTGAATGCTCCTGATGCAGGTGCAGCACGGGAGTTATTTTTTCGTCTGCTCAAAGGAAATTGATGACTAGATTTGGGTGGCACAATATTTTAAAGACTAAAAGACAGTGTGAAGCAAAGGGTTTATTTTAGGAGTACGAGGACTGGTAGGTTACAGCGCATTGCTAACGCTGGCACACAGGTATGTCACGGAGAGCGCATGACTTGGGAGTTCATTTTCCTGAGAGCAGTTTAATAGGACGATTATTGTCGAATAGAAATTTGGAGCTTCGGCGAAAGCTCAAACAAAGAAACACTTTGATTGCGGCTTTGTGCTTTAGTTTTATTATTAGTAATGTTATTTTGACATCAGTTTTTTGGACTCGATGTGTCTCAGTGTGGGCAGGGCGCTCTCCCGTGCTTGTGGTTGTGTGTACTTCTGTGAAATCCTAGGGAGGAAAGGCCCATGAATGATTGAAGATTACCGAATTCCGTCATCGCCAGTGGCCTAGACTACGCCACCAAACAACGACGCTTTGGGCAACCTGTACAGCTGGTCACCTTCAGGACGCTAGTTTCCCACCGGTGGACGAGCTGTTGCGTTTGGCGGGCCACCCTTTTGCCGCGGCCGCGAAAATGGAAGAAAGGCAGCCGCCTCATTATGTGGAGGTAAGGAGCAGTGCCAAGACGCCCTGCTGTTTCCATGTGCTTTGCGCTGCGTGGCTGAAATTACTCTATGGAGCATCGCTGTCCTTCGAGTACGCGCAGAGATGCGACACGTGGCGTCTTGGTGCCCCGGTAAAAGCCACCATGGCGAGCTTCCGCCAATCACGGACGTCGGACCATCACGCTGTGCGTCGCTGACTGATGAGCCGCCGATGCTCAAATCACCACCAGATGTCCAGGCATGGCCCCTCAGAGGCGCCAAGACCACGATCGCCGTTCGACAAAGCATGGGTGGTCGGCCCGAATGGCGAGATGACAGACTCGTTTCACCCCGCTGAAGCACGATTCGCCGAAGGAGGCAGCATCGCCGGGACCATACACGTGTATGTCACATACATGTGTATGTGTGTTTGTTGGGGGCGGTGCCGGCTAGACACTGTTGTGTGCTGCAGGACATGTTATTGGACAGTGCCGTATGGACCTAATCCCCAGTTTAGGGATCTGTGGAGATGAGACTGTGTTTAATCAGCACTCGCGGGCTGCTTAGGGTGGTTCAGAGCTTGTTCAATAGACAGCCTTTTTTCAATATAAAACTTCGGGCCAGAGAGCCCATGCCATGTAAATAATGTAAATAAACCCTCTCCACGAGCTTCAACCTCCTTCTGCCTCGACATCTTGATCCCGGATCTCCGGTGCCGCAAACCCCGGTCGCAACAACAGTCATAGTGCGGCTGAGCGCGATCATGCTAAGGCAGTCATGGGGTGTCCTGCGAAAGCGCGCGCTCTGCAGACGGAAGCCAGGCATCTCAAAGCTAGACGTGTCAGTCGACGGAGAGTATATTTGATCGCCATTGCGCCCGTGCTCATGCTTCGCTGAGTCAATCTTTGCGTGGCTTAGAGTGAACTGCCGGATATTTATTTACCTGTAAGAGATAATTTGAGACTTCATTGCAGAACAGTTTGGGGTTGCAACCGCACGAGCTACAGTGTTTGGGCAAGTGTGAACTATCGTTTGTGTCCAACAATCTCCTATGTTCTTTCCGACACATCTTCGCGTTTGGCCTACGTAGATGTGACCACAAGGCAATTGTACCAAATATACACCTATTTCACCTTGTGCCCAAGCATTGCACCTCGGGTGGTTGGAAACCCTTTTTTTTGTGATACTATTGTTCTTTCAAAACGCCCAGATCGCACCGCCAGAGAGCTGATAGAGGTGTTTATGCATTTTGTCCCATGCTTCACATATAGCAAAGCATGGGAACAAATGCATAAGTGCACCCTCCATCACTTTAACAGAGAAAGAATTTCCATACCTCATCAGATCTTTGAGAGTCTGATATGAGACACATGTTTCTATAGCCCATTCATGTTTTTGCTGTTTCACTTGCCAGGTCAAGTCACAGAAGTAGTTTACATATCTTTCTTTCCAATTAACTTTAGTTGCGAGTGTTGCTTACGTTGTCTACATTTTCTTGTTCTAGTATCCGTGTCTGTGTGCACGCCCTTATTTAGTTAAACGATTAACCAATACCAACTATCTCAATTATCCGTGCTAGAGCAGGAAAAGTTGTTGCGCCAAAATCGACCGATTTGACCAGAATTAAGTGTGGCACCACTGCAGACGCATGTTTTGTGAGAGCGTTGAGTCGGAGAGCTTCAGTTCCTCCTCGAGCAATTCATCGAATCGTGTCACCAACTGAGAAACCGCCATGTGCGAGCAGCCGTTCACCAGAATTCAACAGCGGAATGAGTGGTAATAAATAACTACACACAAGTCATTCTGGCAACTAAAGGACTTTGCCTTCTATGCTTGCTACGAAGGTGCGAATAATGTTCCAATCGCGCGTTCGGAGGCGTTGTTCTACGCCAGAGTTTAGTGCTCGCTCGCTATCCACTGCTCCGACTCTATTGAAATTTAACATTCGTAGTGTGCCAGCTTGAGCTAGTTGGTGTGACATGACGATAGTTATAACACGAGAACAGAACGACGACACAGAGACGAGGACACGAAGGACATGGCGCTCGTGTCCTTCGTATCATTCTTGTCTCTGTGACGTCGTTCTGTTCTCGCGCTATAACTATCGTCATGTCAACATTAGGGCCGTTTTCCAGCGTGGCGTGTAATTAGCAACTCGTCTATATCATCATCACCATCAGCCTGACTACACCCACTGCAAAAAGGAGGCCACCCCCATGATCCGCATATCAATCTGGTCTTGTGCTTTCTGCTGCCACGTTATACTTGCGAATTGTTTAATCTCATTGGCCCACCTAACCTTCTGCCTCCCCGCTGTGCATTTGCCTTCTCTGGGAATTGAGTAAGTTACCATTATTGACCAGCGGTTATCCTGCCTACGCACTTAGTGCCCGACCGATGTCCATTTCTTCTTTATTTCCACTGTGATATCCTTAACCCAGGTTTGTTTCCTGACCCACTCTGCTCTCTTCTTCTCTCTTAAGGTCGCACCTATCATTTTTGTTTCTATCGCTCACTCATTTTTGTTTCTATCGTTCTCAATTTAAGCTGAACCCTCTTTTTGTGCTTCCAGGTTTCTGCTTCGTAGGTGAGTAACGGCAAGATGCAGCTGCTATACAGCTTTCTTTTGAGGGTTAGGGGTAAATTACCATTTATGATTTGGGAATGCTTGCCGATCCACCCCATTCATATTCTTCCAGTTATTTCAATATCATGGTTCGGCACCATGGTTACTATAGCTGTCCCAAGTAGAATATAACTTTACAACTACACAGTACCAGTGCCATGCAACTAGAGTCGTATGTTGAGCGCCAATTACCGATATGACAGCTCATGCGAGGTTAGTTTAAACGTATGACTATAAATTATTTGTGATACTGCTTACTTTTCAGTCATATGACCTTTGATGGCTGTGTGTTATATATGATCACTTGGCTCGACCGGAATATATAGCACTAGCTCACGGCGTGAGAGCTGTCTTGCATTCAACAAATAGTGTGTTATAAGTCGAAAAACAACAAATCTTTTTCCAGAATAGCCGGACAGTGTCTGCACTTAAGAACGGTACAAAAAAGGAACTCCGCCCCTTCATACATGTCAGCTGTCATAGTTCCATGGCCTTGTGTTTTCAAACACCTAGCATATTGCATGGGGTCATGACTTACAGCCTCAGTTATGATAGTTATGATGGTGAACAAAAAACGCTTTAATGATTCAGTAGGGATGGAAGCGATTCTTAGTGGTCTCTTATTCTAAAACTTCAGTGGCCACCACAATCTGTGACGCTTCTTCAAGGGGTCTTTCTGGACCTCGGTGTTTGGAAGAATGAGTTCCGTCGTGGTGGTCTTCATTATCCAGGCCTGGTACTCCTGTTGGACTATCCTGCATGAAAATTAACAATTAAGCATACATACTGCGCTGTGTGCCTATTAATTTTTTTTCAACTCTTATTCCCCAACCCCAGTGCAAGGTAGCATACCGGATCCTACGATCTGGTTAATCTTCCCGCCTTCTTTCACATGTGGAGCATGTTATACTAGGGGCTAGTCATGCGCCGTCGCCATCCGCAGCCACCCCTCCTCCACCAGCCATCTGTGCATCCCTTCCTCCTCTCAACACAGCGCGCGCTGCACTCGCTTCTCCCCTCCGCGCGCCGCGCGACCTTTAGTTTTACGTGCGCCAGCGGTATGCTAACGCGCGCATGCGCAGGCGGGGCCGGTGCTCGCTATAAATAACGAAATGTCGGGGCGCGCTGCTTTTCGTCAGTTGGTTTGTGTGGTCACTCCACGTCCGATGTCGCTGGTGAAAATGTATGCTAATGAATTCGCAAACATACCAACTGACGTTCCTTCCAATAGCATCAGCGAATGTGTTGGCGGAACCGCAAGCAATTCCGAAGACACTTCGTCCGTGGACAAGGCCGCACTGAGAAGAGCTCACGATGCGGAACTCAAACGTCGACGTCGAGCGGAAGATCCTTAGCTCCGAGAACGTGAAGCAGCTGCGAGACGTCAGCGTCGAGCGGAGGCTCTCCAACGCGAAGCAGCTGCGATACGTCAACGTCGAGCGGAAGATTCCCAGCTTCGAGAACGCGAAGCCGCTGCGAGGCGTAAGCATCGGCAAGAGAATCCGGACGGTGAAGCCGCGTGCAAGCATCGACGTCGTGAGGCCGATCTCGATGCTGCCCGCGAGCGCGAGCGTGCTGCGATGGCGGCGTGGCGAGCCAAGCAGTACGTCACGCCCAACGCTCGCTTCAAGCGCGACTTCCTCGACCAGAGCTTCGGCCACAACTTCAAGGTGTGTGATCGACTTTGGTTCGACAACAACTTGACGCGGATTGGCAATATTGAGTATGAACTCCATCACTCCAAAGTGTTGTCGGTCCTTTGCAATGCGTTTGAAAGTGACGCCGACCATAAAGCCATCTTGCTCAAAATACGCAAAGCGTCTCATAAATAAACATCGTCTTTCGCAGCATACGTGCGTGCGTGTTCACTCGTGTTCAATCATAATACACATGCATGTCGCCAATTACAAACCACATTTATCGCAGTTTAACATATATGCTCAGCATGCTAACCAGTGTTCCCACCAGGGAAACTGCAGTCATCTTTTTCTCTTTCTCTATATTCATTCACTTAGATGTGTTTGTGTTTCACCTGCAAAGACTGCGAAGGTTATAGGCAAGCGGCTCAGTGGGCCGAAGGGCCCATCGAATAAGCGGAGATGCCAAGTGCGTATGCACCGCGCGCTAGCGCAGCCAGTGTTTATACGGAACGAGCCAAGCCGCTCGTTCTTTCATGCCGTCTTCTCGACGAAGCGTGCGGATGAATGCGCGGGTGTTTTCCAAACAAAGCCTCTCCTCGATTGGTATCGACTTGAGCCTTGGTAAACAGGCTACGAAGCACTGTGAACTCCGCTAAGACAAGCGGGGCACCCTCTGCTGTGACCGTCTTTCCGTCTTTCTTATCTCTCCTATCTCTCTAATCTCGTCGCTCGCTGTCCTAGCATATCTCTATATATATATATACTTTTAATCCTATCCTTTTAATCCCTCCTCACCCCAATCCCTTGTGAGCTACTGTTGAGGTGTCCACGCTGAGGCAGACAGTTACGGGGCTCACTTTTCTCTTCTTTTCCCTCTTATAACCACAATCTCACCCTCTACTACTCCGCTTGTCTTGCGCTCAGCGGCCCCCTACACACCACCGCTACGGTCCACTGGCCCGCTGAATGTTTGACAAGTTTGTCGATTGCTTATTAAGATAATTCTGCTAATATTACTAGATCATTACTGCAGGTTATTACCGATGGCTGACGGCCTCTTCAGGGCTATCAGCGTACAGCATGAACTGCTTGCACCTGACCTTTGCATTTTCCGGACATAGTTTAAGCTGCGCCCAAATAAAAAGTCAAGTTTTGAACACGCCGACCGTCGCCTTCGTGAACGTATCTACCGTGTGACTGTGTGCACACACTGCTTGCAACACGATCAGGCGAGCATAAACTCGAGAAATACTGAGCTACAGCCACCGCGAATGTTATATGCAAATTCAGGGACCAAGCCAAAGGTTTTCGTTTGAAAGAAGACTGAAGAAAACCATCATATATTGGACAGGTATGATTGCCAGGTATTATTGCCCCGCCGTGGTGGTCTAGTGGCTAAGGTACTCGGCTGCTGACCCGCAGGGCGCGGGTTCGAATCCCGGCTGCGGCGGCTGCATTTCCGATGGAGGCGGAAATGTTGTAGGCCCGTGTGCTCAGATTTGGGTGCACGTTAAAGAACCCCAGGTGGTCTAAATTTCCGAAGTCCTCCACTACGGCGTCTCTCATCATATAGTGGTTTTGGGACGTTAAACCCCACATATCGATCAATCAATTGCCAGGTATTATTGCCATAAAGAAAGCGAAAGAAGACCAATAATGAATGGTGTAAGGCAGGGAGACTCAATCTTATCAATGCTATTCACCGCGTGTTTACAGGAGGTATTTAGGACCTTAGACTGGGAAGAGTTAGGGATGAGAGTTAATGTAGAGTACTTTAGTGAGCTGCGATTCACTGAAGCGGCGGCGGCCGGGCATGCTCCGCGTTGGGAATGCACGTGCAATCACACTTCTTCATGTGATATAGTTACATGGCAAGACGTCAGCGTCTCAGAAAAGACGAAGAAGTTGACGTAGCTGCTTGAGCCACCGAGAAAGAAGAGGACACCAGAAAGAACTACAGTGCCTATGGACCTTACTTTATAATTCATAATTATTTCTACCAGAAACAAGCGAACGTTTGACCGCCGTTGCTCAGCAAGCATTCTTATTTGTTCGCAGTTTTATCTCTAAACTAATTTTTCCGATTAGTTTTAATTTTGTTACACTAAGTATCCTGTCGCCTGGTTATTGGCTCATCCTTTCTTTATAGGTCAGTGCCATCCATCTAAGGTCATCTTCATCATCGTCGTCGTCGTCGTCGTCGTCCTTGGACGTCCTTGCCAGAACAGGGATAAATAATGTGTGGAAAATCAAACGCCGCACGTCTTCCTACAAGTGGTGAACCGGAATTGGAGTGGCAACGCGAATTCACTCGCCCTTCAACCTTTCAGCCCTGAATTTTTTTAGCGCGCAGATATTTTTGTTTCTCGTTGATTTGGAGTTACCACAACCTGGAGAACATGAAAATATCTTCTCCTGAGTATTCAATTTGTGTACAAGAAAATGGCCCCATGTCCTAAATACAGGACACCAGGGCTTAGCGGTTGTAAAGTCAAATATGCTGAATTTAAACACATCTATTTTTTATCCCCGTATGTGCAAGATATTGTTGTGAAACTAACATACACCAATTACGTATTAGTTATAGCACCTAAACTACCCAACAGCAAGTCTTTGCGCTCGTGATACACTGGTCCTCACTGCACTTGAATGGCCACCGTCTACTTATTTAACACTCTGGAACAGCCAAAATTATATTAAAAAATTGCCGAATCCTGCTTTGCAACACGAGAATTATTTCCACCCATGTTTGAAAGGACAAGCTTATTGAACTACACTTCAACGTCACCTTCTTCTAGCTCCATCACGCACCTATATTGTGTTTCATAAAACAAAGTTAAATTTATTACGTACTATCTAGCTATTATAAACACATACCATATTATGTTAATGATGTGGGCAAATTTCGCGACTAGAATAACAAGAAATCGGGAGCTTTTCCTAGAGCTACACATCTGGATTAGCTTGAATGCATTCAAAGGTCTGACAACCACTGAGCCCTGGTGTTCTTCAAGGAAATGAGGAGCACAACCGCGCGCAATGTGGATCAGCTGCAGCCACTGAACTGAGCGCGCTCAAGGCAGACAAGCGCCGCAATGCTTCACGACAATGGTGTCACAGCCGCGAAGTATCACCAAGGCTGCCTGTCAGCGTCTGCTGGTACCACCATCGATACGCAGCTTGAGCTTGTCAGTGCTATCAGCCATGCCAGTTTGCATGCGGGAAACGCACGGGCCACGATTCGAAAGTTCCATATACTCACCGACCACAAGCCGCTTACGTGTCAATCGACCGCTACCAGCTTTGCCCACAGTTCACCTGAGATCCGCCAGCTTGCCTACATATCGGAGTTCACGAGTGATATGCGGCACATCAGTGGCAAAGACGACCCCGTTGCCGACGCGCTTCCACGAATCGAAATCAACTCAACTATGGAGGAGCGCCCACCAGGCAATTTTGCTGCCGTGCATGGCTACTGCACAACAGAAGGACGACGAGCTTCAGGTTCGGCGGCTCCAAGAGAGCTACCTCAAGTTAGCAGATGTCCAAATTTCCGGCCACGTAATTCCCCTCATTTGCGACACCTCCACCGCTTGTCCTCACCCGTACGTTACAGCACCATCTCGCCGCAGCGTCTTCGACGCTTTGCATTTCTTGTCACACCCCGGTATAGGTGTGACTGAGCGCCTCATTACAGGGAGATATATATGGCCTCGAATGAACATTGACGTACACCGCTGGACATAATATTTCCTCAGTGCCAGCTAACCAAAGTCCAGCGTAACACAGTTAGTCCACTGAGTACATTCACATCTCCTGACTCACGGTTCAGTGACGTGCACCTGGATCTCGTAGGCCCTTTGTCCCCATCGCAAAGCAGTCGCTATATGCTAACCTGCGTAGACCGGTTCACGTGGTGGCCTGAGGCACTATCCCACACCGACATCATGGCAGAGTCACCGTGGCAGAGTCACTCGTCACCGTGTGAATAAGCCACTACGGTGTCCCCAAGACCATCACAACGGATCGAGGTTGTCATTTGTACTCCGCGCTCTTCCGTAGCTTGTTCCGAATGCTTCGTGTCAACCACATCCAAACGGTGTTCTAGTGACTGAGATACTCAGCTGCTGACCTGCAGGTCACGGGATCGGATCCCGGCTGTACCGGCTGCATTTTTAATGGAGGCGAAAATGTTGTATGGTATGCCCGTGTGCTCAGATTTGGGTGCACGTTAGAAAGCCCCAGGTGTTCAAAATTTCCAGAGCCTTCCACTACGGCATCTCTCATAATCATATCGTGGTTTTGGAACGTTAAACCCCACAGATCAATCATCAATCAACAATTTCTCGACACGTCACCGGCATCACCAGTGGACGCATGCGAGTCACCTCAGCAATGCCGAAAGAGATGTCTCCTATTCCCTCACGTCAACACTCACGCCCAAGTTTCGTCAGTCATGCACTCCGTTACTGCAACCACGCTTTCGTACGTGAGAAGACGAAGAAATCATGACGCAGCTGCTTCACGTGTTTGAGCCAGCAAGAGAGAAGACACCAGCAAGAACCACAGCGTCTGTGGACGTCCATGCCAGAGCAGGGATAAATTAAATATGGAAAAACCAAACGTCGCACGTCTTTCTACAGTTACAACGAAATATTACTTAGAAGACATTGGAACATTCTCCTGTCGTTGGCATCGCTGTTTCAATATAGTGCCTCAGAAGTGAATGCAGCTACTCAGTGTTTGTGTTTTCTAAGAAAAAAAAATTAGGGGATGCTTACGCTTCACCTTTAGAAGTTGAACACAATAGCGACATCCCGTTCCTATTGCGTACTTCAAACAATTGGTGCATGAAACCTTTTCGGATTTACTATGCACCCACTACATGACCTTAAAGGAATAGGCGCATTAGCGTGTGCACGTGACTTTTGTATTGGGTACCGGCTTTTAACCATGGAGCCATTATGATAATCGCGTATTCTGACGCCTGTTGGCTATGGACGCTTGTACCACGCATTATTATCAGTAGCGATGGGCCGTCCAGCAGACCCACGAAGCGGCCGCAAGGTACTCTTTGTCGGTCCCTACGTGGGAGACGCCCGCTACGCCCTAAGCGCATTCTGCAAGATTAAAATAGTTTTTTTTTCATTAATTCATTTCATGTTACATTGTGAAGCATGTATACAGGACGCGTGTGTTTGTGAAGCATGAAAGCTACTTTCACTGCATTTTCAAGCCGAGGAAGTTCTTTTCACTGATTTCACAATCAGAGGCGTGGCTATTTGGTAGAACATTCGCTTGCCACGCAAACGACCCGCGTTCGATCCCCACTTGGGCACATTTCAACCCTGATTTGGCTGTCAGCTTGCTCCAAGATTCTTTGTGGATTATTTATTCTATCAGCCTTCTCAATTTTTTGGTAACATACAGGATGATAGTTTTTCGCTCACAACCAACGACGCCAACGCCGGCATTTCTGAGAAACGAGCTCTTTAACGTTGTTACTTTGAAATCCACACGCATATATGAAGGTAACGTTACCGCCCTTGTCATATTTTAGACCCTTTCGCGTGCTCGTCGATAATAATATTTGACAGAATTGTACGCAGAAAATGAATAACGTGCATTCTACAGCAGTAACGGCGCGCACAGCTAATCGTAGGCCATTTTATGTGGTCATTTGTGAGTGGCGTCGGTATTTCGAAAAATACAGCGTTATCGTTGTCACCCGCGTTAGTTTCAAAATAAGCTGGATGAGTTGTGTCACAAACAACATTATCAGACCAGTGTAAAAGAATCGGCAAGCTTCTTAGATGTTTCACTGTGGTTTCCGCCGAGCGGTGGTTACACGAACAATAGGCCGGTAACGTGTGCCTGCTTAGAGAAAGCGCGCGTAACAGCATTCGCTCTTCAAGACTGACAGGGTTACAATGAACGGTAAATCTTCACAGCAGTGTAAAATTGGCCTAGGGAAACCCTATGCAGAGGAACATGGCAACGAAATAAACGTGCGAGTAGTTCACACTGAATCTGTGCGAACATATGCATTTTGATATGCAACGTGTGGCAACGCTTTCAATTCACGTCATAGTGCCTGGAGAGGTAGATATCGAATGCTGTTCCCGAAAGTAGTTTTTACCGTCAGGCTTCGCACATAGCAGAAAGAAGAGTACGACTTGTAAATGGGCTAGCGTAGTGTAATGCCTATACACCGCATGAGAGCTGTGATGTCTCAGAAGCAGTACGCTACGAATTAATCTTTACAGTTCCAAACTAAAACGTGCCCTATAAACCAATCGTCCTAGGCTGGCGCAGGGTTCATTGCAGGGTTTAATGGTGGCGACGGTTTATTGTTATCACCTCTCCCCCCCCCCCATTTAACATTGTCAATCTACACTGTAGCCTTTGCATCCCATTCTCTTAGGGGAGTAAAAAAAAGCGCCCCCTTCAGCCCGCCGTCACTTCCCGAGCGCACGCCCACGCTTGTTGTGGTTTTAGCAAGTGAAGTCACGGAATTTTCACCAGCGTGTAAGCAACCTTTCCCCTTCCTATTCCCTCATTTCTGGAGTTTGCTGCATTATTGCTTACCTGTGAGAAAGCAGCGCTATGTCATCGACGTCATCTCATCTCATATGACTGCTGTTAACCAAATTTCATGCGCCAATTCTTTGTATTCCATACATGCATAGTCAATATGTAGGCTTACTATGCACCGTCTTCGCCGATTGAATAAAGTTTTCTCATATACGGGTTTTCCTGGGTTTAAAATACCCACAACAGCTGCACCATGTGTATGCATCTGTATATGTGAGCTTGTTATGCTCATATAGAATAAGGTCCAGTAGTCACCGAGGCAGACTCTACGGAAGCCGCGTAGTGTAAGCATTATAGGTGACTGCCCTACGGACATGTTCACGACTCATCGACCAAAAAGTAGTCATACCTAGTTAAAATATGCCAATAATAATATGTACACTATAATATATATAATAAGCCCTCTCTAAAGTACAGCAAATATATATTGACTCTGAAAAGTACAAACTGACTTCCAGTGACGCGCACTACCGAAACTTATGCTAAGAGAAACTCTAAACATGCCTACTAACACTCGGCTCAACGCACTGCTCAAACAACGGAATAGTACGTATCGAACGCGAATACGATGTTTTCATAACACATCGATAACAAGGCACAAATGATCCATAGATAACTTTCAACATACATAACTATCAGCTCTATGCTTAATCGATCAAATATAATGGTTATCGGAACAACTAGAAATGTCCAGAAAAGCAGAAAAAGTTTCGCAATCCTGGTTGCCATTGGTTGCCACCTGCTGAATGTAACTCAGAGTGAATATCTGCTTACGATTGTGTATCATACTTACCACCATTCCGCAATCAGTATCAGGGACGCGAACACCACGCAGAGGATGTACCCCGCGATGGCAAGCACGTTGCTGATCCAGTCCTGCGTGTACCGAGACTGCACGACGCATACGCAGGTGGCCACCAAGAGGGACACTGGGCATGCGAAACTGACCACACTGCACACAATCGCTGACATGTTTTCCCAGTTGAAGTCGCTGAAGAAGTGCCACAATGGCTGCAATATGGAAACAAAAATTACTAAAACTTTTTAGCTATATACCTGACTGCATGACTGCGAAGAAAACTGTGATAATACGGTGCATTACACTTCGCAGACGACTGGCACATTAGGCACATTCCATTCATGCACCGAAATTCGCAACAGACCTTCGTGCAGTCGTTTTTTATCACACTTGTTCATATTAGCTATCAAGTACACTTTGGTTGAAATAAGCACTCCGAGAAAAATAAAAGTAGTAGTGCATAAGGGTGCTGCACACATCGTATGATTGAGCACAGCAAACAAGCATTATCACGCATATAATTGCAGGGAAGCCACGTGTGACTCGGATCCCCAAATTTCATCTCTGTCAACAGAACAATCGACAGGAAGAAGTGTTTTGTGCGCCGTCGTAGTGTAGCAGATTGGTGTCCGCCTGCTAACCCTAATGTCGTGGGTTCGGCCTCTGTCAAGGAGGTCACATTCAAATGAAGGTGAAATCCTTGATACCCGCGTACTGGGCGTTCTCAGGGCTCGTTAAGGCGCGTTTATGCTAGAGCGACACGACACCAAGTTGGGTCTGCGGGCTGTCTTTACGAGTGTATTTTCCCTTGTCGCAGACCAATGTGCACTGCAAAGGCACTAACAGTCCACGGGTGGTCTTTCGAAGACCCCGCCCACGCCTTGTCGTGCTCGCAGTCTTTCGTTGACCAATTCTGTAGTCACATTGGAGGCGCACGCAGTGACACTGACTAAACTTGGGCACCTGCACCTCATTTGCAGCCATGCTCTCTGCTCTGCCATTGTAATTGTCCGGCTGCATGGTGCAGCCTCCGCCATAATCCATGGTAAAGAGAGACGGGGGTGATGGACGCAATAGGGAAGTGAATAAAAGACACTCTTGGGTGCTCGAGCTGCTTATTCAAACACCGCGGAAGCGTCAAAGATCATTGTTAACTCCCCCAAGATTGCCAACTTCGTGGTCGTTTGAAGCAAAGACATGGGCCAAATTTTCGCTCAGCAGCCGATCGCCTGAAGACACGCCAACGACAGGTCTGCCGATGCGTTTTTCTGGCGCTTTCCGTCTCTCATTGTGTTACATTACGATTAAATGCTGTCTTTTGCGACGGCGTCATCGTCATCGGCCCAGTGTGACCATGGGGTCTGGCGACTTCGTCGGTGGGCGACTAGTCGGCCGATGGTTTGCGTCCGCCTCATGTCTTCGGTGGGCTCATGTCAGTGTCGTGCCGCTCTACTGTAAACGGGCCTTTAGGTGCTCTAGCTGCCTATTCAGACGACGCGGTAGCCTTGGAGAGGGCATTGTTAACCCTTCCCCCCCTCCCCCAAGATTTCCCGCTTCGTGGTCGTTTGAAGTAAAGACGTTGGGCAAATTTTCGCTACGCCGCTGACCTCCCGAAGACACGATGACGGAAGGTATGTGGATGAGTTTTGCTGGTGTTTTGGTGTCTCATTACGTTTACACTACGATCAAATGCTGCCTTTTGAGGCGTCGTCGTCGGCATAGTGGGGTCTGGAGACTTCAAATGCGGGTGACGAGTCAATGGCTTGCGTCTGCCTCGTGTTTTTCTCGGAGTCATGTAAGTGTCATGTTTCTCTAGTGTAAACGCACGTTTAAAGAACACCAGATGCTGAAAGTTTCAAGAACATTCTACTATAGCACCCCTCACGATCGTACAGTGGTTGTGAAATGTAAAAGCGCAGCTATTAATGAATTATTGTTATTTTCACGTTCGTTATTAACTTAGATGCTGCCTATTGCGTAACCTGCAGTGCGAGAAAGGGTCGTGTAGTTTTACATCGACAAGGTGGGTGCTGCCACTTTCGTAGGCAGAAACTGATTTTGGGATAGCAAAAACCTTCTCATCATACCAAACAGCTTGACCCGATTCTCTCCTCACGATACCGTCTTGCAGGAGCAATGATTTACCACAAAAGGCATATGAGGAAAGTACCGAACTAGAATGGAAAAATTTAGACTTACGTCCTTTGTGGAAAGTTTAGTTAATTGTTAGTATCTATGTGTTCTATTTTTCGAGCTTTGCGCAAGTTCTGCCTGCCACGATATCACAAACAGGCAAATTGTATTGTACACACTACTGTTTTTTTTGGACGCTCTGTAGCCTAACTTCTGCGGAATGTTTGCTTTGTTTGAAAAACTGATAGCAGTGGCCTGAATTAAAGAGGACACCGGACACATTAATAAGGTGGGTCGTGACCCCTCACCCCATTCCTCAAGTTTTCAACCTGGGGCACGCAGCTTCATAAGATTTGGAGATAATGTTACAATCGATTGAATATAAAAATATGAAGCGATCTTAAAAAGAAAAAAACGTGACTGTATAATCCACCTGTATGAAGCCAGTAAAACACAAAAGTGTAACGTGTCTTCACAGAAGTAGGCGAGCATTTATTGTGCATAGTTTCAGCAACAGCAACATACTGAAAATTAACGTTAGGAATGGCAAGCAGCTCTAAACTTGCGGAGCACACCTCAAAAAGAAATCACGCGCAAAATAAGCATACACAGGGCGAGCGCGATCTAGCAACTATCAAAGCTCGACATTTAATGCGCGCTGTTCAAACAAAAAAAAATAAGACGCACGAAAAGAGCGCACAAGATACACGAGACAAGTGCGAACAGCTGCCACAATTTTTCCTGCTTCCGAAGTGAGCTCCTTACGTAAACGCGACCCTGGCAGCGTGCGAAGTGACCTTCGTCATCTCTCGAATTGCGAGTCTGATAAGCACGCGCGCAGAAGAAACCACGCTCCGTGGAGGTGGCGCATCGTGGAGACGACAACACTTAGAGCGGGCTGAATGCGAACCTGAGGACTGTCAAATTATTTATGGTGTATATAAATGGCCAGCCTTTAGCAAACCGGATAACGTTCGCTTTGTGGCGTTGTGGTTAGCGGCGCACAGTAAGAACCGAGAGGTTCCTGGTTCTATTTCCCGCGACATATGCTTGAAATCTGTTTTTTTTTTATTCGCTATCTCATAGTATATATTTTTCAACCTCACTTCCGTGACGGAAGTACGTCAGCAGAGCCATGGTGGGCTCTGGCATAGACAACTTTCGTGTTAAAAACGATGTACGAAAGTGCGAGATTCCTCCGGCTTCAAAAGGCACTGGAAAGCACGAGCTCTCTGAAGTGTTGCGAATGACTTGTCACGTGCTACAAATGGTTACTACACTTCGATTTATTATGCGAAGTAAATAAATTTTTCCCCATCATGAAACACTCTCTGTCTATGTCGACGGTTTCTTGGAAATCATTGATGTTGAACTAGGAAAGTAGTTCCTGAATTATGGTTATGTTAAAGAACCACCGTGAAACAAAACCATAACTTTAGATAGAGATTATGCAATGGGGAACGCATGTCGAGCAGAAGCGGGAAGGAAGATGTACTTTCGCACGTAATAACAAGCACTGACATAGTCACATGGTCATTTAACTCTAATGGTACGATAACTAGAGATATGCTGAAGCCAACTTACGATCCACACTAGGAGACTAACTTCCCCAGCACGCCTTTCTACTAATATACTAATCGCTTCCCAAAGCTATTGGGTTGAGCTCGCTGACCTGGTGCTGAGGTCGATTCTCAATTTTTTTATGTTCAATGGATATGATTTTATTGTTTCTTTGATTAACATTGAATGATTGAATCTACCCTATCGCAAAAGCCAGTGGCACTGGCTCGGTGCCATACCTGATTACAGGACCAGTGCGGTGCTGACACTGGGACACTGTCACGCTACACATTGGGACACCTATTATTGTCCGAAGTCTGACTTTTGAACTGTTTTTAAAAATTTTGGTCATGTGCACATCATAATTAGGGCTGAAACACGCGCGCAGCGAGAAAAAAAACTGAAAGAAAAAGTGCTTTAGGCGGAGTTCATCGTACTACCTCAACACATCACGCATCCCGAATTTGACTGCTCCACACCTTAAAAACGAGAGAAATTGTATTTTGCTCAGTCTTAAAACTAATTAAGGTATAAAATATTTTGATTTTGTCGCTTACATACGCAATGTTTTGTCTCTAAAAGTAACAGGCGATTGTTAGCTTAATTTTTGTGAATTGTCTTGTATCACTTCCATCTGGCATGTTTTGCCGCAAAGCTTGTTAGAGTAGCTGCAGATGTGTTACGGCAATTGTAGTGACTCGCAACTTGAGACGCCGAGTGAACACGGCGACGCCATTTTCGGCGTGCCACGTCATCTGCAACAGCAGTGCTGCTTAAGTGTGGCCTCTTCGATTAGTTCCGGCAACGGCACGCCATGAATTAGTCACGGAGGCTGTGGTTGAAGATAAAAAAGAACAACTTCTCTGGGCTAGAGGAAATGAAGATGACGTATGTTTCCACGCCCACACTATCAGCGCGCCGCGGGGGTGGAATAAGACAAGCTTTTATTTCGCCTGTTCTAAAGCTCCTGATGCTACAGCAGCAAAAAGAATTATGTCACCGTCCACAATAATGTCAATCCTTTCTAAAGAAGAAGTTTGATTAAATTCTAAAATCCCTTCAGCGTCCCTTTAAGACACTGGGCTACGCTGTACAGTGTGCCTCAGTGCGTTTCAGCACGCTGTAGTACACTGGCACACACTGTAGAGCGTTTCCAGTGTCTTCCAGCACGCTGAAACGCACTGGGAGACTCTGGAAACGCAGTTTTTTTTTCCGATAGGGTATCCCAGTAAAAATAAAACGATTTTCCTAACAAGATGTGTCTACCCCTCCCCCCTTCATCCTTGCAATTATTCTCGGTTTACACCACATTTAGCAATGCATGGTCTATTTTCGGTCCTTAACACTATACGTCTTAAGGCTCGAAGTCGTGGTTATACTTCGTACATTTAACTTGGTGGACGATGGTTGCATGATGAAAAACCAGATGGCAGGATGTGAAATCACTTATTTGTGGTGTATCACTCTGGAATGCGCAGGGAAATATGTTTACGATTATAAGAAACCAACGCCAGTCATT